AGAAAATAGTGAAGTAATCATAAATTACAAATAAAGATTCTTACCTTTGAGTAACCAAGTGAACCCTTCACTCTCTAGTAGTAAGAACTCTTCTTTAAACACTCTCTCTCACTCTCTCCTTCAATCTCCCTTCAGTATTCATGAAGACTAAAAGACAAAAAGATTTTAAGACAGTCAAAACTGAACCTTTTATAGAAAAGACACGAAAAACCTTCTAAAAATTGCAATTTTTAATTTATGACCGTCCACGATCGTCATGTACGATCCAATTTCGTGCGTACGAATAGTGTAAAAACTGTTGCGTACGAATAATATATGAATTAGTACGAAGTACCTTCATACCTGATAATCATCCCGTACGAACTAAATTCGTCCGGTACGAACAGTTATTCCTAAGGTTCATTGGTACGAAAATGCAGTACAAATTTCAAGTCTTCAGAACAGAGAAGATCGTCATGGGATGAATCATAAATATCTTCTGGACAAATATTTCATTTTGGCCAATCCAAAGCCCATCGTCTAGGGACGAACTATAATTATCGTCTGGAATAACCCATCCAGAGAGCACCGTCCTGTGACGCATGATAAATATCGTTCAAACAAACGCGTCCAGAGCCCATCGTCCTAGGATGAATGAAAAATATCTTCTGGACGAATAGTTCATTTTGGTGAGTACAGAGCCCTTCGTCCTAGGACGAACCATAATTTTCATCCGGACGAATGCATCTAGAGAGAATCGTCCTAGAATGAATGATAATTATCATTTGAACGAACGTGTCCAAAGCCCATCGTTATGGGACGAACGAAAAATATCGTCTGGATGAATAGTACTTATAAAAGAATTTTAGCTCTCTCTATTCGTTCTTTTGCTCATTTGAGAGTTTTAACTGACCAAATCATACCGTACGAACATGATTCGTACTGTACGATTAGTTTTAAAAATTATGAATTTTAACTCTCCCCCGGTGTGTATGTGTGCTAAGTTACTCAATTACAATCACTCTCTCTCATACTTAATAAAATGAAAAATACAAACTTTAATTTACGAAATATTCTAAGCTGAACTTGATTTGAAGTCTTCAACATTCTAGAGTATGATTTTCCTAAAATGTTATTATACACAAGACAAAAAATAATTCTTCCAAAATATGTTAGGAGAAAATAATAATATTTAGAATCATCAAAACATACAAGTTGCAAGAATGTAAAACATGCAAACTAAGTAACAACTCATTCAACAAATATAAATAAATCTAAACAACATAACATAAAATTTCATTACTATAGTTAATATTTACATTCTAATATATGGTCAAAAGTCTCAAAATAATATGTACAAAAGTCACTATCGGCTAGAAAAGAATACATATAAAGCTAGAAAGCTAAAAAAATACAACTAAATTATTAACAATGCCTAGCCTCACCCAATAGGCTCCTTACTTTTTCCTAAACCATATAAAACCACATAATGAACACTAAGCCCAACAAGTAACCAAAACTTACCACTTAGTTTAATGCAATATAAAAGAATCAATATGCATGCTCTATTTATAGGCCTTATTAAGCAACAATCAATAGTCTCTCAATATAAGTAAGAAAAAATCTATAAAATTTATAGCTAACAATAATAAAATTAATATGATCAATAAAGCAAACAAAAAAAAATCAAATCATAAGAAAAAGAACTATCAATCAATAAACCATATCAATATTTTGTGTTATATTATATCAGTAACAATGTAGGTTATATCATTATGACTTCAGTTATATCTATCAATCAGTTTAATGTATCATCATATTAATGCAATAATTAATAAAATTATGAAGAGCAAGGCAGAACATTCATCTTTAATGTGGTTTGTCATTCTTCCACCCCATTTATCACCTAGTTGGTTATTAGTCTTAAATTTAACCCCAACTATCGACTAGTTGGTCATCACGCGGTGTATCTTACTATCATTATTCATTATCTTAAGTCAATTCACAAATGACTTTTAATAATTAATGAAGAGTTGTCACTCTCTACCTATTAGCTTTATCAGTCTATCGATTAAAGGCTACAATCATGATCACACAACAAAGCTTTTATTTCATAAAGTCATGTATGGCTACCCTCCTGCACAGGGTAGTATACTTTAACACAAAACATGTATTATTTTAGTACTAACAACTTTCCTTCCATGCTTATATAAAAAGAAGCATTTATCTCATATTAGTGTTATTATTTTTTCTATGTAATATAGTTAATATCATATCTGAAATGTTATAATCCATGAAATGCAAAGAAATCTATAAATATCTATAATATGTATTTATTTCAAAAAATTATAGCTTCCCATTTAGCCAATAAAATTTAATAATATTATAGTCAAAATGCTTGTAAATATTACATCTATCATGCATGAAAAGTTACAGTGTGAAAACTCGATAAATCAGAAGAAAAATATTTTATCAATTTTGAGAAGATTAAAATTATAGAAAACAAAATCATCCAAAATAAGAGTTAAGTATAGTCACTTTAAATAGAAAAAAAATTGTAATAAAGTGTTGGACGAAAAAGCCTCTGAGATGTTCCTCTCTCTTCTCTCTCTCCTCTCCTCTCTTCCTTTCTTCCCCTCCTCTTTAGTTAATCTCCTTCCTGGTCAAGCAAAAGAGAATTAGAGCGAGAGAGTGAGTTGGTAAGAATTTATGTTTTATATAATCTTATTTCAGTTCCGAGCTTTGTGATGCTCAATTGACACAACACCACGATGCTCAAGTGACCCAATGCTATTGTATTACATGTCACCTCTAGAGTTACTGTATAACAAGGAGCATCCATGCCACAATGATATTTTCTTGCGTCGCTGCTCCTTTATAGACAACACCGCTACACTTTCAGATCCAACGTGACAACGTTGCAAGACCACATTCACTCTCCAACTACGGTATCTCTGACCACAATCACATGAGAATGATTATTTGATCCAACGTGACAACGTTGCAAGACCACATTCACTCTCCAACTACAGTATCTCTGACCACAATCACATGAGAATGGTTATTTTAACATCTATCCCTTATCAACTATGGTTCTTTTAACCTCTGTTTCAGACGAACTAAGGTCCCTCTAACTAGGAGTGTCAATTTTGGGTCACGGGTCGGGTTCAAGTCAAACCCGGAACTGACCCAGGTTCAAATGGGTCAACCCTACCCCGACCCGGGTTGGTAAACGAATCAGAAATTTGAACCCGGACCTTATCCAGCGGGTTGCCGGGTTGACCCGACCCAACACAGGACGAGCACGTGGGGCAAGGTGTGGCAGTGCGAGGAGGGTGTGTGGACGCGAGCGAGCTGCGGGCTCTGCAGGGCGGGGTTGGTGCGCCGACACGGTCGCGCGCGAGCGAGCTGCGGGCGCTGCAGAGCGGGGCGGGTGCGCCGACACGGTCACGCGTGGGGGTTCACGAGCAGCTCAGGGCTCGCAATCACCAGTGCGAACGCAAGTGCGTGCAGGCAACCGCGCGGGCAGACTCGGGCTTGTGGCAGCAGCTCACGCAGCTACGCGGGCTGCAACTAGCAGGGGGCTGACAGGTCTGTAGGTAGCCTGGCAGGGGTGGGCAGGTCCTCGGGCAGCAGGGCATTTATTTTAAATGGGTTTTCGAGTTAACCTGGTAACCCGTTGGGTCAACCCGAACCCGACTTATTTTTCAAACGAGTCGAATCCGAGAACCCGAACCTGACCCATTTTGGATACGGGTTGGGTCTAACCTGAAAATTTCGAGTCAGGTTTGGGTTGGGTTTTCGTGTCATGTCAAATATTGACACCCCTACCTCTAACCTTTGTTGCCCGACTATAGTCCATTCAACCACAGTTGCCTATCGACTATAATATCTTATACCATCATTGCACAATAGTCCCTTCAACTTCATCGTCTGCTGACTTCAATTCGTCTAACCTTTGTTGCTTTGAAACCTCCATCGTCTGACAATGGTCCCTCCGACCTTAGTCGTCCAACTATGATCCTTCTGACCTCTATCGCTAATCGACTATGATCCATCTTGCTTCTGTCGCTCAAGGATTATTATCTCTCTAACCTTTGTCACCCGATTACAGTCCCTTATCTCTATCGCCTGACTACACTCTATAACCTCTATCACTCGACTATGGTCAATACTAACCAAAAGAATGAGGCAATGTTCTCTTGAGAACATCTCTCACGTTATTGGATTCTTCCAACTCCAAAAATATAATGTGGCCTGTATGATATATATTTGCTATATTATACTAATGTCTTCTCCCACAGAAGGGCATCCTTTGTAATTAATGACAAACACATGTGGAATCATTTCAACAAGGTTAGACTCCATGATTTTTCTCCTTTTCTAAAATTTTCACATAAAAAAAATTTTAGTGTCTTACGTTTTAGTGTATCTTACACCTCTTACACCATTCTCCTTTTTATTTGTATGTGTTAGATCTTCGTTTAAAGCTAGAATGCTAAACTCTTTTCTCTACCATCATGAATGTTCAAACATACAACAATTTGGAACAAACATTCAACTATTATAGTGATAAAAAAAGTAAGTGGTAAAATATAATGTAAATTTAAAAGATATTTTTTTATTGCTATTTCATGTTTTTATTTTTTAAAATTATTTTAAAATTGTGATTGAGAATTAATTTTCAAAATAAAAATAAAAATAAAAAACTTTTAAGCTTAAAAAAAAAAAACTAAAGGCTTAATCACGTATCTTTCCACTCAGATTAAAGCATTATTTCGGAAAATGATTAAAAAAGTATTTCTTCTCTACATTTGTTCCGATTTTAGGATTTTTTTTAAACTTTGATATGTCAACCCATAGGTTAAAATTATCGTAGAATATCAAAGGTCAAACATTCGCATTTAAGCATGGAGAGAAACAAGACAACAGCATCAATTATCGCACCTCATCCTTGCAGAAGCCGCCCATATGACAGAAGGACGACCAAAATGTAATAGTTTAAATAATTAGACGGATAAAATTTTCTTGTTATATATAAAAATTAAAATATATAATCTCAGGTTTAAGGGAGTTCCATGACAAAAGTTTAAAATAATTAATCTTCTCCTCTGCTTAACCCGCCACCACATTGCCTCCGGCGTTCAAGCAGCACCCGTCGCAGTCACCGTTGCTTCCTCCGCGTCTGCACCCTTATCCTTATCCTTATCCTTTCTTGTCCCAAACTCATGAACTCGGAGATGCAACTCAGCCGCAGCAATAAGAAAATGCACCGCTTGAATCGGCCGCAGAATCTCCACCAATCCCTTCAGTGTTTCAATCCTCAAAAAGTCCGCCTTTTTTAGCACGTCCACCATGGCCTCCCTCTTCGCCTTCATCTCCTCCTCCATCATCTCCTCCCCACCACCCATCTCTGTAATCACATGAGAAAGCTTTACCATTTGCTCATCCGCCGCCTTCTCCTGGGCCGCAGCCTCCTCCTCCGATATCTCCTTCTCGCGCTTTAATGTCACCTGATGGAGTTTATCAATGCGGTGAAGCTGCTCCGCGTCGACATCAGCGAGGTTCCAGGTTATAGCGCCGCCGATGAGATCATCCAGGTGGGACTCAACTTGGATTCCGCACTTGGAGTAAAGTAGTTGGAAAATCATAGTGGGGCGCCAGCCGCCGGCCCATAGCAAGAGATTTTCGGTGGAGCTGGTCCACGTTGGAGTGAACATGGGGAGAACGTCGCGGCGAGCGAAGGCTTGTTTGGCGTGGTAGTAGTCTTCATAGCGGTTGAGCACGGTGGAGAGAAGAGGACGGAGGTGTTCGTCGTGGGCGGCGGCTTCGTCGCGATTGCGGGGCGGAGGGGAGGAAACGGCGGAGAGGAGGGATTGAAGGTCGCGGTTCTGGTCGGCCAGCCAGGATTCAAAGAAGTTGGCGAAGTTGTCGGAGGGGTTTGGCCGGCCGTTGAGGGGGGCGGGGGAGGACATTGCTGGTTGAAGGGAAAGCAGGGGTGGGTCGGCCGCTGCTAGTGTGCGTCTGGGTTTATAGTCGGCGAGTTCTAAAATTTTGGAGGGATATTTCTGAAATTAATGGCTATTGTTAATATTTATTTATAGTTTTAATTATATTTTGTGAAGCGAATTAACCAATTTGTAATGCTATTTATAATCATTATTAGTAAGACTAAGCCAAGTGGTAATTTTTATATAAGAAATTAATTAACTAGCTTTTTCAAGATGTATGCAATTTTTTGAAAAAGTAAAGCCAATAAACCCTTTTTTAAAAGAATATGATATGGTGGTTATAGAATGTTATTTCTCCATTATCATAGCCACTTATCATTCCCAAAAACAAATTAAAAAAAAAAAAGCATTTGATCTAAAGTAAATATTTATTTTACATTGTCATTGCATGGAAGCTCCAAATGGAAATATGCTGAACCCTATCATTTAGTTAAATTTCAACATTGGGGTGGGGAAAGAAGTGGGGTTTGCTTTGCTGAGGTTTGCATGCCATCTTAGCTCTCTAGTCTCCACCATAATGCATCCTCTTAACATTTACTTCTCCTTCTTATTGTTTGGCTTGATCCCTTTCTTTTGTGACCACACCCCCTTGTCATTTCACTCCCCACCCCTTCTCATACATTATATATAGCGTTTCTAACCCATATTAAACACTTTTTGTTGAGAAGATCCTTCATATACTTTCTCTTTTTCATATAGCTTTGTTTGTTATCGATGTCTTTGATTTTCCATCTCCCCATGATTATAGAACATCCTCCATTTTTTGGGTAGAACCCTCTCTTTCATAGCCATTCATCACTTTGATCCTCCCACCTCGACTCTGTATTAACTTTCCTCTTTTGATCACTTGAAAGATTTTCTTTTCATCATATTTCGAATCTAGCCATTTTTAACTTTCTTTTATGAAAAGTCCAAGTGAGGAGATTTCCTTCTCTATTTATGAAGTAAAATTTGTAGCTCATGATTAAGAACTCTCTCTCTCTCTATCTATCTCTCTCATAGGATATGCTCGTGATTAATAGTTCATTATACAAATCTCTTCTTTATATTGTCGAAAGACTAAAAAGCTTGAAGGAATTTTAGAATTGTTTACCTCATTCAATATATATTTTTTGGTTTTAATTTTCCTATCTTGAGGACTTCAACTCTAATTATTTGAGAATTCTAGATTCATTTATGATAAGTCTTTTACACAATTCTCATAGAATTTTAAACTAACTATAAATTATTTAATTGAACGCATTTATTCATTTACCGCTCAGCGGGTTGCCTGACGAAGTATTGGCTTTTTTATTTTTATTTTTATAATTTCAGGCAAGTGGCATCTTGGATAAGATAAGGATAACTGTGTACGAGAACAGGTAGTATAAATCAATTTAAGTAAATAAGGTTAAAAATATTCAATCTAGTTATAGTTTCGGTTAAAATAACCACTGGTGCCAGCATTGATTTTTTTTTTTTCTATTTGTTTGTCTCGTTCGGTTGGAGAGAAGGAACCACCAAAAATAAATTTTTTTAATTTTTTCAATAAATAAGTTAGAATGAAAAAATTTTATGGGTTATTAAAATTTTATAATTTAATATATCATAATCCTTTTATACATACATCTTTTTCAATAACTTTTTATTAATAATAT